TGCCTGGCATGGATCCATTAATAACCTTCCCATTGGTATTTGGTAACCCAATAAGGCAATTTGAGCACTTTGTAGATAAGATGAATGTGATAGCTTGAACTCTTTTCATTGTGAATATGCTTAGCTTCAATGCTACTGTATAGTGATCAATCAACTTGAGGCATGTCATAGCTTTTGTTTCTGATTTCTTGAAGTCCTTACACTGAGGCTGGTGGCATTACTTCTGAGCTTTTCCGTACGTCTTCAACTGATTGATTGTTCTATGGGCATCCTTATTATTTGCTGTATTGTGAACCATTGTTTTCATCACTTTCAAATTTCCTTGTTCTTATAGCTTGCTTTCAAACATGCAGTTTTATTTCAACCGGAACTTTCAAATATGCGTTGGCATTCATGTTGCTTTCAAATTAATGAAATTGTCTTGTTTCCTGTCAAAAAAATGTAACTGTGTAGTCTTTAATGAAGTTAAATTATGTTCCAGCTGGTGCTTAACTTAATCAACTCTCCACATGGTTGTGGCAGTGTGATTTGCTGGATATGCCCGCTGTGGCACAATTGGAAAAAGATGCTAAATATGCATTGGTATACCAACTTTTAAAGATCTTTCTGACTCAAAAGGCTGGATGCATATTTGGATTTCCAGGCGGCAAATTCTACTTTACTTAAAAGCTATGGTAAATATCTCCTTTTGCTGTTTTGCCATATAAATTTTAGGCTGCTATTTGGGTTAAGATTCAGATTTTGGATATATTTAATCTTTTAGACTGAAATGTGTTCTTTGGATGGCGTAGGTCTTGTCCATGAAGATTGTATAGCAAAGATGAGGTTGATGTCATTGGTGGATCTTGGCTCTGATGAATCAGGCCAAATTCCTTATGCTCTAATTAAGGACACTCTCCGGGTAATTTTGCTTTTCCTTACCCATATCAGCGGCTGTTGCTTTTTACTTCTTTGTTTATCACGTTGGCTTGGGATTCCTTGCAGATTAATGATGATGAGGTGGAGTCATGGGTAGTTAAGGCAATTGCAGCAAAGCTAATCGACTGTAAGATTGATCATATGAATCAAGTTGTAATTGTGAGGTGCACTATAAAGTTACCTATCTCTTTGGGTATTTGTGTTCTTTGTTTCTATATGCTATAATAAAGCTGTGGACATTATCATTTACTTGGTCTATTACTTGTTTTTTTCATTGTAGCCACTGTGTTGAGCGCGTGTTTGGTCTGCATCAGTGGCAAACTTTCCGAACAAAGTTAGCAACATGGAGGGTAAGGACTCCCTTCATTCTGTGTGTTTTTTAATCCACTTTTGGTCCCTTGCGTCTTGGTGAATCATCCAAATCTGTGTTTAAAAGTCAAATAATAATGTCCTTTGGCTAATCAACATTCAATAATTTCACTATGTTGACAAGACTATGATATTGACACTGAAAAAGAACTTCAAGCAATCTAAAAGAATAATTTTCAAAAGAAAGAGTGGAGTTTCCTTCCAAATAAAGACACTGCTAGTCTTCTATGGCCTGCATTTGCTGGTGTTTTCCTAGGGACCTTCCACGAAAAGCTAGTATATGCCAACTATTTTTTATTTTTGGTGGAACTATTCTTTTGACGATTACCTTTTCCAGGCTAACATGTCAAATGTAATTAGTACCATTCAAGCTAACAAGGTGACTGAAGATGGGACTGGGGCAATGTAAGGTTTGTCGATACACTAAGATTTTTCCTCCATTTGCCGTTTAGTACCGTAATCATCTTTATTTAATCTTGGAGGTTGAGAGAAGTTCGTAGCTGTTTTGGTTTTGCCTGAAATGTTACATGGGCTGGTTTATGAGTAACAGAACCATGATTGTTCTTTACCCTCTTTTTTTTTTTTCACTTCCAATTGTACGTTTCTTGTAAGTACCATAACTAAGTTCGTAGTAGATTATCTTTCTCCGAAAAACTCTTCTAGAATTAGGAGGTACAAATAAAATTACTTGAAATTTTGTTTTATTTGCTTTGATGATTTTAAGACTTTTTTGTTGTTAGGTACAAATATTAAAGAAAAATATAACAAAGTATGGAGGAAAATGGTGTTTCGGTCAATCACTCTCTCTCTCTCTCTCCCCACCATCACCAAAAAAAAAAAACCACAAAACCAGATCTTCTTCTCACCGTATATATAGACAGGAATATATAGTTATACACATGTTTGATGAATGACTTGTGGACATTTGAGAGTAAAAGGTTAGCCTAGTGGCAGTTTAATCACCTAATAAATTTGTCATGAGGGATAGATTAGGGGTTTGACTATTTCACGAAGTGTGGTTCTTGGGGCTGCGGCCTGTCTTACAAAAATTTTTTTTAGTAATTTTCAAAATTTACATATTGGCAATTTGGGTCTTGGGTAGGTAACAGAGCTCTCATAATATAGCCATTATCAATTTTGTCCTCATCCGAAGTGGTGCAAGCTCTCATAGTAGACATTGGCCATTCATTTCTCATCCACATTTTAGTACTTGAGCTTGTGATCTATATCATATCATTCTCGTGCCAAACATTAAACTTTGACCGGAGGATTTCACACGACAGTTCAAACTCCCTTATTGAGCACTTTATGGTATCTTGCCTGGTGACCGGAACAAAGTAGCTCAATAGGAGAAAGAAGGCATTGGGGCAAAGAAATAATTTTGGTATTGTATGTCTAACTTTTACTAATGTAATGGGTGTTTTTATAATTTTTTGTGGGTCATTTTATAACTAAAAAATTTATCATTTTTGTAGTAATTATTTTTATCACTTTTCTTTCATACAAAAAAATTTATTACATTTGTGGGTGTTTTTTTTTATTACATTTGTAAATATTTTTTTTGCAATAGTAATCAAATCCCTTGGATTTATTAACCTCTGAGAGAACAACCAGTACGATAGAGTCTCGAGAATGTTAGTGAGACGTAATTTCTTGATCTATTTTACTGATTTAATTCACTATAATCATTGAGTTAACTGTAGATCTCATTAAATATTAGAACTTGGTGTTAATCTAACGGTTAAAATGAAGTCACGTTATTAGGATAACAAATTAAGTCAAAATTTTTAAATCTCAATAACATTATTCTTAAATTAACTTTTGAGTTGAACTCAATTAGTAATACTATTGTCATTTAGAAAATTAACCTACTTTGTTGACCAATAATGTGATAATGACGTAGTTTAATAATGTTATTGTGACCAAAACTTTTAAATTTTATTTTTGAAACTCTACGACGAATACATCATTATATCAATAAATTATATTAATTTTTTAAGTCTAAATAATATTTCTCAAATTCAATAGAAATTGTCTAAAAGTGGCTCACTTGAACTCCCATTAAAATATCATGGACTCTCTAAAATTTATCATTTAATCTCTCAGATCTCCTAAAATTTAAAATATTACATATAAATCCCCTGATTTATATGCGCGTAACATTTAAACTCTTGTTGTCTATTAATATATTTGTTAGTAAATTACACATATACTTTCTAAAATTTGTAGGTGTATAATATTTAGATCCCTCAAATTTAAAATGTTATACTTATACCAAAAATATTTCAATTAAAGATAAAATATTAAATATTTTAAATTTTATAACCAAAATTCATGTTCTATTGTATTATTTACTGAAATAAAATTAAAAATAAAAAGTCAATTTTTAAAAAAAATCGTAATTAGTATATAATTATATTATCTATTGGAATAAAATTAAAAAATCAAACAAGAGGTCTAAGTCATTCATAATAGGACAAAAAAAATTATGTTATATTATGTCATTTATAAAAATAAAAATTTAATTTTTTCTTAAAAAATCGTATTTAGTGTACAATTATATTATCTACTAGAATAAAACTAAAAAATAAAATAGGAGTCAATCTGTAATGAAAGCAATATATTCTAACTTTAATTGGGGTAGTCTGATAATTTAATTTGGACGTTTAAATGACCAAATTAAATTTTAATAGATAGTATAATTATATAGTAATTATGATTTTTTATGAAAAAAATTGATTTTTATTTTTAATCTTATTTTAATAAGTGTCATAATAGAATAAAAATTTTGGTTATAAATTTAAAATATTTGATATTCTATCTTTGATTGAAGTTTTTTTAGTTTAATTATAACTTTTTAAAATTGAGGGGTCTAAATATTACATATCTACAAACTTCAGTGAGTGTTGTTGTAATTTACTAACAGATACACTAGACAACATGGATTTAAGTGTTATTCGCGTATAAACTTTGAAGGGTCTGTATATAATATCACTAATGTTATTAGGACATAATTTAGGAATATAATTAGTTGTCACCAATGAAATGATAGTAAAATATATTTAATGATAGATCTTATTGTAGCATTAATGAATTTATTATCATATTATTAGTGATAATTCATTATGTCTTTAAATTATGTTTATAAATTATATTTTAATAACATTACTCGTATAATATTTTAAATATTAAAAAATTTGAGTGATTAGGCAATAAATATAGTGAGCCCTAGTGTAATTCTCCCAAATATCATTGATGAATTGGAAAAGTAGGCCTTGGGGAGAGAAGTACGAAGCTGACTTGAGAACGCGTTATAGCCGCCCAGGAATCAATCCAAAACCAAAGACTTCCAAGTTCACGCCGTCTTCTACCCGTGCTACCTGTACTTTTCTTCTATACATAACCTCTACTTCTTCATCACCATTACCCTTCAGCTTCATCATCGATCACCAGACTCACCACCATCATACACCATATCTTTCAAAGCTCATACCTCCCATGTACACCATAACTCTACACATCTCCTTCTTTCTCTATCTCCTCTTCTCCATCACCACTGCCGCCGCTGCCATCAGCGACACAGCCAACGCGCCACCTTACAGTCCAAGCGACTACTTTCTCCTCAACTGTGGTTTATCTTCTAGTTCTAACGATGCCGACGGCCGAACCTGGGAGGGAGATGCCCGCTCCAAATTCTCGCCGTCAAACATTTCAATAACTTCTTTGGAATATAAAGCATCCGAGCAAAAAACTTCTGTCAATCAAGTCCCCTACATGACTGCTCGGATCTTTCGCTCTGAATTCACCTACACCTTCCCCATCACCGTCGGACCAAAATTCATTCGTCTCTATTTCTACCCAGTTAATTACTCTGACCTCGACATAGCCAACTCTTTCTTCTCTGTCACCTCCGGCGGCTACACCCTCTTAAGCAACTTCAGTGCCTTTCTCACTGTCTCTGCCATGAAACCCGCAGTTGCTTCCCTAAGAAAGGAATTCATCGTCAACGTTAGGAACAACCAGAAACTGAACATAACCTTTTCGCCGTCTCCAAACTCTTACGCCTTCGTTAATGGCATTGAAGTCGTTTCAATTCCGGAAAATCTCTACATTCGCGGCAGTGATTATCAAATCCCACTAGTCCCGAACCAAATATCATTCAATATTGATAACACCTCTGTTCTTGAGACTCTCTATCGATTAAATGTTGGCGGTAATGAGGTCTCAATAACCGATGATACCGGAATGTTTCGTTTATGGCTTTCGGACGATGCTTACACCTACGCAGCTTATGGGTTTACACCTCACAGGGAAGTCCCAATCCAGTATACAAAGGACACACCACCTTACACTGCACCGAAGATCGTTTACACAACCACAAGGACCATGGGCAACCAAAGTCTAACATACAATCTGACATGGAGATTTCCTGTTGATTCTGGGTTTTATTATCTTCTCAGACTCCATTTCTGCGAGATTCAATTGGAGGTGACCTTGGAGAACCAAAGGGTTTTTATAATATACATCAACAATCAAACGGCACAGAGAGGAGCAGATGTTATCCAGTGGAGTGGTGGCACTGGAATCCCGGTGTTCAAAGACTACGTCATCATGGTCACCGACCCAGATGGTCGCCGGAGCAAGCAAGACTTGTGGCTCGCTATGTACCCTGAGCTCGACTTTAAACCTCAGTACGCTGATGCTATATTGAATGGTTTAGAAATCTTCAAATTGAGTGGAACAGACGACAGTCTCGCCGGGGCAAACCCTGAACTTGTACTCAGTCCACCGCCAGGACCATTCCCATTGTCACCGCAGAAGAAGAACAATAAAAAAACATCTACTTTGCCGGTTATTATCGGTAGCGTAGTCGGAGGAGGGTCTGTTCTGGTCTTTATCTTAGGTTTCTTGATTGTCCGACGACGGAGGAGAGTGAAAGACTTGGGCTCAACACAGCCCAAGTCGTCGTGGGTCCCCTTATCTGACGGTTCAAAGTCCACAAAAACCAGCGGTTCATCACTACCGTCTGATCTATGTAGACGCTTTTCACTTGAGGAGATCACATCAGCTACATGCAACTTCGATGACAATTTTGTCATCGGGGCAGGGGGATTTGGTAACGTGTATAAGGGCCACATCGACAACGGTGCAACCACTGTTGCGATCAAACGATTGAACCCATCATCAAATCAAGGGATCCACGAGTTCCAAACAGAGATCGGTATGCTATCAAAGTTACGCCACCTCCATTTGGTGTCGTTGATCGGTTATTGCAATGACAACCGTGAGATGATTTTGGTGTATGATTATATGGCCCATGGAACCCTTCGTGATCATCTTTACAAATCGAAGAAACAACACCTTCCGTGGAAGCAACGCCTTCAGATTTGCATTGGTGCAGCAAGGGGA